GAGCTGTTTGTGTATGTTTGCACTTTTCTCTAGTCCATGTTGGAATGCCGGGCCTTTGTCGATACTGGGTGAGACTTAGACTTCCCGCAGGGCGCCCCACTCAGTGCTGGTGGCAGCCCCTGCGCCTCACACGGCACTGCTCTGGCCCTGCCACTGAGCAGCCAGGAAAACAGCCAGACTCAGCCGTTAGGTCGAGGCCTTGGTATAGAGTCGCAGCAAATGATGTATGTAGCCAGATGGCGAAGAAGGCCATTGTTTTGTATCCACCATTGTGTTCAAACGCCGTATTTGTTAAAGCAGCAGTGATTATAATTAAAATGTAAATATTAATACAAAGGAAGGAAGGATGCATGGGTGAGCAGGTCACCTTGCAAAAGGGATTTAATCGGAAGTTTAATCTTAACACATCTTTCTTCACCAGAAGGTATTTTGTATGGAGAAGCCCCGGAAGATGTCTCAGCAATGTGACTGCCTCTTTGCAGTAAGCACAGCATTCCCTCTTCCTTAGTCTGCTGCTTTTGAAAGTAAAGCAGGGTGTGTTTTTTTAATCCTCATTCAAGGACATCTTAGAGAAAGGAAGAGAGGAAGAGAGAGAGAAACATAGTGTGAGAGAGAAACATCAATCAGTTGCCTCCTCTACGCACCTCAACCAGGGCTCGAACCCGCACCTTTTGGTGGACGGGACAAGGCTCCAGTCAGCTGCACTGCCAGTGGGGCTGGGATCTCGCCCCGTTGGGTGTCTGGTCCTGTGCAGGGTGATGCGCCCCAGGATGGAAGGCAAGCAGTTCAATCACTGGCTCCCCGCTGGGCCAGCTTCCAGCAGCAGAGCTTCTGCTGGGAAATTCTCTGCTTCTGCCCTTCACCTTCCACCTGGAATCAAACCCCAGCCTCACCTTCCACCTGGAATCAAACCCCAGCCTCCTGCGCTGAGCCGACTGGTCTTTGAAACACATGCTTTGACTCAGTAACGTGGTTCAGTCTTGAGGAGTTTACCCATTTGGCGGCTTCAGCTGCCACCTTGAAACTAATGACTTTTAATTCTAACACTATCCCTGGCCTGGTCTCAAGGCCAGGCTCACCAAAGGGCATGCTTGTCATCTTGGCCCTTGAGGTCCACCTGACTGTCTCCAACCCTGCATTTCCTATGTTCCCCCTCCCCCATCCCCACTGCCGGCCTCCAGGCCTGTGCCCTGGCCCCACAGGAGTTGCCAGACCCAGAAATGGACCCTTGAACTCACTGTTGCTTGAGAGGTGCTCCATGTGCAGTGCCAGCTGCCCTGCCCCAGCCCCATTCCTACAGGTCAGAACCATCTGTCAGGATGTTTCTCCAACCTCCCCTGCAAGAGAGCCAGTCCTTACTGCCTCCTCCTCCGTGCAGCCCACCAGCCCCCAGAAAAGAGGGGAGCTTCAAGCTCCTTTCCAGGACCCGCAACCTGGATCAGGGCAGAAGGGCCTCACAATTCGGCCAAGCCTCGCGTGCAGCCGGTGCTCCCCAAGGCCGAGGCCCCGCCCCTGGAGGACTGGGTGCTCCGCAGCAGGAGTACTAGCTAGAGGAAGAAATGGTGTTGGAGCCGACAGTCATCTCCGAATCAGCCCTGGGTTTTAAAAAATGTATGTCAATGCTCACCCCATCTCACGGCAGGATCTTTAAACCAGTTCACTTCCCACATGCACAGAACCCCTCCCCCAAGCCCCGGGAGCACTGCTCTCGAGAACTACCTCCGGCAGCCTGACCGCCACCCCTCCGGCGGTCACAAGAGGCTTCCTGTGGTCTTTCAGAGTTTTTTCACACGCTGTGTAGCTATTTGATTTTAAATTGCACGAAGCTTTCTGGAGCCGGGCCAGGTGATGCTAGAACTTGGGTTCTATCTGTGTAACCCTTGGGTGGAAGAGGAAACGCCATCAGACTTTCAGTGGTAATAAAATTATTACAGTGAAGCCCTACATCTGTTCACTGCACTTCCTGTGGGCTTTCACCAGATCGCATGACTGACAGCAGAGACCGTCTTTAAAGCATCTGGTGTGCTTGTTATACCTGAGTCCCAACCACCAAATCAGACCTTTGCTTTGTGTCTGGGCTGGGCGTCCGGATGTCCCTCTGCGGTGGGCTGATTCACTGGAGCTGATAAACACATTCCGGCCAAGCTTGGGAGTCTAGCATTACCTCTGGCTCCAAATATCAAAACAACAGGATTGTTGTCAGTAGCTCTGGACGGAGACCAAGCTCCCAGCCTGAGAGACGGGTTTTCTCTCCTTAGCTGAGTCACAGGACAACCGTCTTGGAGAGAGAGGATTGGGGGGGGGGGGGGTTGAATTCACTTCAGGTGAATTCTTGCCATAACCTCCAAACCAAGGCCCCACCCCCCCAAGCCCGCCTTCCGCTTTCCCAGGCCCCAGTGGTCCTCAGGACGCCCCCCAGTTGTCACCACGTGGGGCCCTCAGTGGCCTGAGAACTGGAGAGAAGATGAGTGGTCAGCGCTGGGCGGGCCTGGGAGTGCCTGGCGGCCTGGGCCCAGGCAGCAGGGACTTGGTCGGCGGAGGCAGGAGTGAAGACGCTCTCGAGTGAGGAAGTGGGACTTCCCTCGGCATCACAGGATGGCATTACTGTTCTCCCCGCTGGAAAAGGAACATGGAAGAAAGAGTGACTCTTTCTAGGTTGTTGATCTGACATTCGGACTATGACATTTCTTGGACTGAATCCTCACAAAATGTGTCCCCAGTGTCATCAGTGCTAAATAAAATCTCTTGTCTTCCTTTTCCTTAGCTCCCAGGCCTCTACGACAGGTGAGAGGCGCGCTGTTTGCTTAGCGGTCTGCTCAAATCTCCAGCCACGCTGCCCTCCCTCTAGATGCCGCAGGCTTGGGGGAGGGGCTCGGGCACAGCTCGCCCAGCAGAGGCTGCTCCTACTCAGGTTGACCAAATGGTGTTTTCAAAACTCCTGCCTGGCTCCTGCCTCTCACTCTCCGTTTCTGATGTTCCCAGTGCACTCTTAAAACGACGCTGCCGGGAAAAGGAAGCTCTTACTTCGCGCTTTCCGTTGTTGGCTTAGTGTAGTGAGTCCTGGGGACATGCTTCTGTTTCCCTTGCTCTTTATGCCTTAGCCCCCTTTCTGGGCCTTGTAAGAGCTGATGAGAAGTTCCAAGAAATACTGCCCGCCGCCCACTGTTCCCTGCGGAGAGAGTAGTGAGGGGTGTGGGGGCCGTCCGCAGCGTGCAGGGTTTCCGAGTAACAGAGCCCTCCTGGCCTTGCCCTTGGTTCCTGTGTTCAGTGGCGCCCCTCAGGAGGCGGCACAGGCACCCAGCCTGATGGGGGGGGACAGGCCTGCCCTAGCTCTCAGGCCACAGCAGCCTACCCTCCCATGTGTCTTAGTTTTAAGCAGTCGGGGTGACATTGGTTCGCAGAACAGTACAAGTTTCAAGAGTACAACTGAGACTCGTGCCTCTTTCTCACTGAGAGTCATCAGAGTCTCCCAAAGCCAGGAGGGCAGGTAAACTAGTCCACCCCAGTAGACTCTCCAATGCAGTGAGGAGGAATGCTCATGAAAGCAGCTCCTCCTCTTTCCCTCCCGCCCCCTCGGAGAGGCAGAGGGCAAGTGGCCCTGCTCCCTGCCCTGAGGCCTCCACAGGGAACCCCAGCTGTGCCAAGGGCCTCGCCTCCTTCAGTCACTGTATTCCTAACGGGAGGGCATTTATGGCTGCGTTACCGCGTAGAAGCTGTGCCAGGCTCCCACTGCAGGCAGTGCGGGGCTGACCTCCCAACCACGCCCTCTCCCCGCGTCACTGGGAGAGGTATCTAAGAAGTAGGACTTCTTCTTTACTAAGGGATACATTTCTCCTTCACACACAGATCGTCCATTCTGATAACTGGCATCATTCTGCGTTTGGTCATTGTTTGAAGGGCCGTGTGGCGGGTTCTGTCTTGCAGTGACAGGGCCCAGAACTAGCCCCGACGGCTCCGGGCGGCCGGGAGAATGCAGTTCAAGGACAAAGTGTTGGGTGGCTGTGGTGACTCTTTTCAGACTGACTTTCCCGCTCAGGCCTCGATGACAGCCCAGGCCAAGTGCCCAGAGCAGGCCCCGCCGCCCCTGGTGTTAGTGGGTGGCCGAATGGGCCTCAGCAGGACACTGGTGACCGGCCTCGAGCTGCACGGGAACACTGCAGCCGGCCGCGGTGCAGAGCACGGCTGGCAGCGGCTGGTGGCTACGCCCCGGTGCTACAAATGCCCGTTTTTTCACGGAAAAGAGTATCATTGTGTTGCAACGGCTGATTTCATGACAAAGACTGATGCCACCTCCAAGAGCCCTATGCCCTCACCAGGCACCCAGGCCAGCCAGAAGCGGCCAAGTGTCAGGAGGCTCGTGCAAGATGCCAAGGGCGTGGGCCTCCGAGAAACCACCCAGCTGCTTGGCCGTTACGGTGCTGGGTAGGGGGTGCCCAGGACTTCCTGAGAGGCTGGGATGAAATGGATCCCCGGGCGGCCTGATGGAGGCCCCGCAGTCGGGCTGGAGGTAGTGCTCCCCTCCGCTGACCGACTCACCCTCGCAGGAGGCAGCGAGCTGCTGTGCAGAGCAGCTGCCCCCCCGGATGCCAGCGTTCTACCCAGTCGGTGCCTGTCTGCCGTCCACACTTAGGAATGGAGCGGGAAGGTCCTCCTCGCCAGGGTGTCAGCCTGAGAACCAAGCCCCACACACAGCAGGCGCTGCCCTCCGCGTTGTAGGGTCCCACGCAGGCCCTGTCTCGCCATCCGATGTGCCCGTCCTGCCCACCCTCTCGGGCCCCTGCTCCTCCCGGGGTGCCGAGGGGATCCCATGCCCTTCCCGCAGGAACTGCGTGTTCTCAGGAGCCCCGTGGGAGCGGATCGGGAGAACCCCGGAGCTCTCAGCCCCGCGGCCGCCTCGGGGAGGGGCTCCCGCGCACAGCCCCGCGGCGGCGACGCTGCTGCTGCTGCTTTCGCTTCTGCAGGGAACTGTGCAATCATAAAACCGTCTTGTTTCGTTGCAGAAGTTTCCGGAATTGAAATTCAAGTATGTGGAAGAGGAGCAGCCCGAGGAGTTCTTCATCCCCTATGTCTGGTCGCTGGTGTACAGCTCGGCCGCCGGCCTGTACTGGAGCCCGCAGGACATCCAGCTGTTCACCATGGACTCCGACTGAGGGCAGCCGCCCGCCCCTCCATCAGCACCTTCTAGATTTTTCTTTCTGGCGCACAGACTTGGGAGATGACCTGGTGTGTCTTCTGTCAGAGGATCGGGAAGCAGGCGTGTTTCCCTCGCACACTCGGAAGTGGAGCAGCGGTGCCCGTTGGCAGATCACTCGGCTTCGAGTCTAGTATAAAAAGGGGGAGGGTCCACAATAATAAATATCAAACCTGCTGTCCCACACGCAATTTTATTTATTTCTAAACCAGAATCAAGAGCTTTTCCAGGAACCCGCCGCCTTAGCTGTATAATACTTCCCCAGGACTTAACTATTTTTATGCATGTCCAAGATTTTTGTTTTAGTCATGTGTGAATGTATATGTGTGTTTCTTTCAACACTGAGAAATATCAGTCTGAAAAGAGGACAAGACAGGAATTAATGAGGAAATGAAGTCTTCTGTGTGGTGATTTAATAAACACCGTGCCCAGGCAGTTGGCTAAGCCTTCAGATCCCCTGCATCAGATCCCAGAAAAAGGAAACGGCTCCTCCTCAGGAAGCCCAGGTTGGCTTTTCTGCGATCTGGCCTCTGTGCTGTGGCTGAATTAAACTGGGGTCTAGTACAAATCAAGTTAATCCACTCTGTGCTCATCATTAGGAAAAAAAAGCTCCTTTCCAAAAGCAATCTTTTTTTCTTCAGCCAAACTCGTGGGAGAAAAATGAAACACACGTTTTCCTCTTCATTTCTGACGTGGTTTGAGCGGGAGGAAGGCTTCTCCCAGGGAGCCGGCCAGCGGCCTCCGCCCAGCGCCCTCCGCCCTGCGGCCCCCCGCCCAGCGCCCTCCGCCCAGCGCCCTCCGCCCAGCAGGGCACTGAAGGCGCAGGCATCCCAGCAAGTCCCACTCCACGTCCCGCCGCCCTACACAGTCTAGATGAGAAGCCAGTTTCACGCACGAAGACAAAAGCACATAATTCCACATGAGACAGCAGCTGTTTCGGCTGCTGCCGGCCCTCTCTCAGGAAACGGCTTCTCCTGTCCCCGTGTCTCCGGCCGGAGGCCTAGGCCATCGCAGCCTCTGGAAAAGGGTAAAAGCCCTGCCGACACGTTACGCACGTCTGCGTGTCCACCCGACTAAGGCCTGGGCTGCTCCACCTCCCAGGCCTGTGCGGTCAGCTGGGCGGTTTGTCCTCGCCCAGACCAGCACTGAAACCAAAGCTCCCATGTGGGGAAAGGATTTATAGCTTTAATTTGTTTCTGTAGCATTTGATTTGCTCCCATGAAACCAAAATGCAGGGTGTTATCCAGCATCTAGAAGGGTTCCGGAGTCTGGAGAAGGGGCTGTGTGTAAATTAGGAAAGAGACTAGACATGACATATAAACTTGGAAGGCATTTTCAGGAGCCAGAGGAGACTTAGCTTCAGTAACCAAGTTCTCTGAATCTCTGGACCCCTAGCTTTTTTATTAACACAAATTGTCCTAAAGCAAAGCAAATATACATATCAAAGGTTAAGGTTTGGTATACAGCAGGCATTGTCAGGGTTGGGGAACTGCCTTGGCTGTCAGGCAGCAGGCAATAATAGATGCAAATCTGTAGGTTTGAGGAAATGCTTTCAGCTATTCCAAGAGGATTCCAGCAGGCAGTGACATGGCTCAGCCCTGCTGAAGCCTTAAGGCCCACCACCCTTAGGATGAATTTGCATTTATGCCATGCTGGAATTAGCCTCCAGCCCCAAAACACAAATGTTCAGAGCATCCTGTGGGGTAACTGAGTCTCTGGTGGGACCCGAGAAGTGTCTGCAGGGCCTTCAGCTCTTGTGACTAGAGGAACCCCAGTCTCCCAGAACCCCGTCTCCTCTCCTCCGCCCCCCACCCCCTTTCATCACCGCACAGCAGCAGTGCCACCGGCCTGAAAGCCCAGCGGGGCTGCGGCCTCAGAGGCAGCGTGTGAGCACACGTTCCACATGCCACCGCACAGACCCGTCAGGAGCTGCCTGCTTTTGTGTAAGATTTATTACATGACAATAAATTTAAATGACATCGTTGAGTTATGCTTGCATTAATTTGTTTGTAAATTTTTTTTTGTTTTCCACAAAGTAAAAAATGTGTAGAATGAGGCCATACAGGATCATCCTGTGTTAGGAGGGAAATTAACATCTGATCTCATCCAAGATACGAAGCTGTTACTGCAGTGTGTCAACTTACCAACCAAGGGTTCTGCCACGATATTTATTTTTAAAAGAACGTGCCCCTTTCACTTGCACCTTACTTTTCAAGAGTTCAAGGACGTACAAAAAAGCCTCAAAAGCAAAACTGGTTCCCACTGCTGCCCACGAGGCCGGTGCTGGGACCTGTGAGCAGCAGCCTGGCCCATGGCATCTCAGGGCGGCCACGTGCAGCAGTGCAGCAGAGCAGGGCTTGGGGCAGCTCAAAGGCGAAGGCAGAGGAAGGAAGGAAAATAAGGTCCCTACAGGTGAGGCATAGAAAGCACCCTGCACACAGTCCTGTCCTTTGGAAGGAAATTGCATGAGCTGGCAAAGCAGAAGATGGAGAGGCCAGTACATAGGACCAACATCCAGCAACTGCCCTGAGCTTGCTAGGGTGCGCCCACGAGAGAGCTTTGGGAGGGGGATGCTTTGGGGCCCTGAGTTTCTTACTCTGGCAACCGTGTCCTTTAGGTTCTGGGGAACAGGGTCTTGCCTTTGGCATTAAAGCTCTCTGCGTATCCGAGTTGCTCTGTGTTTCCAGGGCCATCCAGTAGAGCTGTGGCTCTTGCTGATCCTTTAGAGCACGTGTCAAACACAAGGCCCGCGGGCCAAGTCCGTCCCGCCAGGCCTTGCAATGTGGCCCGCACCGTGCTGTCATCACTGCACTCCGCTGCGTTTCCATCACAGTGACAGTTTATGACTGTTCAGTAAACCATTCGGCCCGCGATTTAGGCTGGATTTTAGATTTTGGCCCCTTCTCTGATTGAGTTCGACACCCCTACTTTAGAGGCTTGGGTTTGCAAGATCGACCCTTTACGTCTTAATTCCCTGCTAGGTACTATGCTTATAGGTTCAATAGCTGCCATTTTGATATTAGGGACTGGTCCCTGGGCTTTCTGATGCCAAATTCGGGGTAAATCCAGTGCCCCACATCACCTCCAGGAGCCCAAGAGGTCAGGGTTCCCATTCTCTGGTGAAGAGCCATGCTTCCTCTGAATGTGAAAAGCTGAGGAATGGATTATAGTACAGTTCACAGCAAATAATTTAATTTTGTTTTTTAAGAACTCGAAGCATAAAATTTATTCTCATTAGGGCATATCCACTTGGGATTCCCCCATCCAAAACAAGGGCGATTCGTTGGGAATTCCCTTCCCCTTGAACAGGGCATGCTAGTATTTGGCAACCACTGCTCTCCTGACTCCCCAGGGCTGTCAGAGTCCCAGCTATGCCGTCTCTGGAGTTGAAAAGGCCCCCAGAGGAAAAGCAGCCTCATGCAACTGACCAGGCGACACATCACCAGCCTGTTGGCTTCAGAATCACTGCAAACAAAAGATTTAAATATTTTGGCCGGATTCCCAAGGTGTCCTTAGCTGGAGGGTTGGTTGGATTTCTAGTCCAGCATGACTATCAGTAGACTATCCCTCATGGATTCAGTGAGCCAGTCCCTGGATGTGGAACCAAGTGACTAATGTCCTCAGGTGCCTAGCACATGTGCATTCTCTCTGGAGGAAGCGAACTATTATGTACTGAATGTTTGTATATCCACCTCCCAACTCATATATTGAGCCCCAATCTGCAGTGTGATGGTATTAGGAGATAGGGCCTTGAAAAGGTGATTAGGTTTAGATGAGGTCAAGAGGGTGGGGCCCTCATGATGGGATTAGTGCCCTTCCAAGGAAAGACATGGAAGAAATTTCTCTTTCCACCTAGTGAAGTTACAGCAGCACAGAAATTAAAATTGCAGGCCCCTCTCATTATTGTTGATGCAAAATGTCTGAACAAACATGAGCAAATAGAAGTCAGCAATACATAAAAAGCAACATGTAAAAATGCATCATGATTAAATTGGATTTGTCCTTCAAAAACCAATCATTCACCACAGACTTAAGAAGGAAAAGTAAATGATCTCAGTAGATGGGAAATTTTTTCTTTCATAAAATGCAACAATCATTGAGTGATATAAATGTTCACCAAACTAGAGAAATAAGGAAACCATTTGAGCCTGATAAAGATCACCTACAAAAACCTACAGCACACGCATCATACTTAAAATATCAAAAACGTTTCTCCTAAGATTGGGAGCAAGAAAAGAAGTCCACTCTCACCCCTTCTAGTCAATGGTAGGATCCTGGCACGCATGCCCAAGTACCCCGGGGGAGGGCACTAACCTCTGCACTGAGGTTGAAATGCACCACAGAAAGAAAAAGGACAGACAGAAGGATGGGTAGTTGTGTCAGAAGCACGGTGACCTTGGTAATTCCAGGATGTTAGACGCCAGGCGGGTGGGCACACAGGTGTCATTGTAAACCCTTTCCTATATGTTGGGAGAAATAGCCCAGTGCAATCACGTGTGTGTGTTTTTAAAAGACTGGATTGGATGGGAAGAAAATAGACTGTCATCATTTGCAAATGGCATGATTTCAGAACAACTAGTGCAGTGGTCAGCAAACCGCGACTTGTGAGCCACATGCGGCTCTTTGGCCCCTTGAGTGTGGCTCTTCCACAAAATACCACGGCCTGGGCGAGTCTATTTTGAAGAAGTGGCGTTAGAAGAAGTTGATGTTTTAAAAAAATTCGGCTCTCAAAAGAAATTTCAATCATTGTACTGTTGATATTTGGTTCTGTTGCCTAATGAGTTTGCCGACCACTGACCTAGACGAACCTACCAATAAACTAGTAAAAGTAGCAAGGTTTCTGGTCCTAGGTAATATACAAAAACCACTTGTATTTCTGCATATTGGCAACAATTAGAAAGTAAAATTGTGAAGGTGTACCACTTGCAGTAGCATAAAAAAAAAAATCCATTAAGTACCCAGAGATCAATCTGAAAAATAAAATGTGAGCGGACTTAAACACCTACCGTATTTTTCGGACCATAAGACGCTCTGGACCATAAGACGCACCAGTTTTTAGAGAAGGGAAATGAAGAAAAAAAGATTCTGAAACAAATAGTGTCCTAAAATATTTTATGTGCATTAAAACCCAACATCACAGTCATAAACACATGTAATCAACCCTGTAAAGTAAACAGCAGCATTTA